CTCTTTAAAGATAATTTGTTAGGAGCAACTAAGTGCAATGGGAGAAAGGATAATCTGCTGGAACGCACGATAATTTGGTGGAAAAAAAGATGATCTAATTAGCTTTCAAAGTAATTATGGGAATTTACGCGAAATAATAAAACAAACGAGGAATGATTTGTATGCGTCGAGAGCCTCGCGACACTGCTTTTTGTGCATATCGAAATATTTCTCCAGCAAATTGATGATACCGTCGTTGTAACAAGCAAACAGACGAATGAGATCGCGAAACAGAAGGATGAAAGAGCAATTGATCACGCCGTTATTCAATTCAGCCGATGTCACCTGCAATTACGCCGATTTCCCATGTCAATCCAGTTCCAGAAGGTAGATTTCCGGGACTATCAGGGCAACCAAGAAAATGGAAGAAACTTAAGTGATGATTTGACAAAAGTGCCGTTACTAAAAGCCATAAAAAGTTGCACGTTCCCAGTTGATTAGTCGACTCGCAGCCGCACATTTCCAGTTATCCAGTTAATATCCACGCCTGATCGATGTGTGCGCACTGTATTTCAAGAAACCGCTCGATGACTGTTCACTTTTCGTTTCAGAAATTATAACAGACAAAAAACGTACTTGAAATTCGAGAAGAGCGTCAATTTGATTTTGCAAAATCGGCAACGTTTTCAGTAACTGAAAAAAAAAGTAAAAAATATGGCCTGCAACGAATTAAAAAAAAAACATTAATAAACTAAAATCAAGATTATTCAAAACTGTCCGGAAATGGACGTGGGGACCGATGTTATGATGTTACCCATGAGACGCCCTCAAACAATGAATCCAGTCATTTTTGCTCATCCATCCCAAGCTGTATATCTTCCAGCAGTATTCGCCGTATGTTCGAAGCAAATCAGCCACTTCTTCGAAGGTAGCACGAAAATAAAGGGAATGAAGAGATTATAAAGAAAAGAAACTTTTGGTGACTGTGAGAAGTGCAGTGAAGTTTGGGGTTTAAAGGAAAATCCCCGTGAAAAGTATCTAGCTACATGTCCCGCCATCGGACTGACTAAATCCCCGTCATTTTGGATGTAGTTTTCCAATGCATATACAGCAACCACCTTGTCCGTATTCATTGTTCGCAGAAGGCCATCCTCACGCCCTCGTTTCACTTTGCAAAAATCAAAAGCACATAGCCTGTATGTGTAAATTTTCTCGCTTATATATTTGCCATAGCGACGTACATGTTGCGACATGTCGTAGCCTGAAACGGTGAAATTTTGTTGCTATATTTTGAAGCTGAAGTGCAGCAAGCATGTTTGGTGAAAGCATATCTGAATTAGGCGGTGCAAGCTGTCCAGAACTGAAGAATCGCCAGCTGAACACGTATTTTTTATGAAAAAATGAGTCAAATCCACATAAAAGGCAAGCAAAACTTCATTTGTCATATTGCGCATATTGTATTTGAATGAATTTCCCTTTCATCTTTTCCCATTAAATGTCATGTGTTTAAATCTAATGCATATAAATAGTTTTTTTTTTTCAAATCTGCACGAGATGCAGCCCCTTGTCCCAAGTAATTTTTTGCAACTGACTACTCACCTCTACTGTTCGCTAAGCTTTTACACTTCGCGCCCCGCCATGAAAGAATTTCAACAATGTTTTTTTCATACTCCGTACTTTTCGCTACTGATAAGAAGCACACAGTTTGGGCGAAGTAAACTGATCCACAGTTTCCAGAAATAAACATGGAATTCAGAAAACCCGCCAAGGTTTTTCTTTAACGCACTGCACACAGAAAAGTGGGGAATAAGGGAGAAATTGGAATGAGGGGGGAGAGGGAGGGGGGAAAGGAAAGCGGGAAGACAGAAGAGAAGTGGGCGGGGGAAAAAATGGTTCAAGAAATTAGATCCTTTACGGTTCAAAGCCAATTTTAATGCGATTTTTTTCAACGGTGAATGTCTCTAATAACATCAATTGTGTTTCTTGGATACTGGTTCTTTCGTCTCACATTTTTTTGTATTTTTCCAGCTAATGGGGATTATTACGGGGTTTTTATTGCACTGCACTGCACTGAATTGATCGCGCACGACCAAGACCCAAGACGCTTCACCAAGCTTCTTCCATCGCTGAACTAGAAGCTAGCATTACGACGACACAAAGTGGCCAATATTGCCTAATAGTGGAAGGCAGGGGTTTTGAGTTTTAGACGGTAAATGATGCTGTAATCTTCTGCAAGCAAATAAACAGGAGAAAAGAAATGAGGCAGGAAATGATCAATGGGATTGGTGGGTGCAATGCAAGCTTTTGTAAAGTGCAAAGGAAAATGTTTCAAGCTAAACTGAAATTGAATGTGGTGCTCAGCAAGTGCAGGATTAATGATTCCCAGAAGATAAACACATGCACAATGATTAATTTACCAATGAGAACCGAATCCAGGGAAGCCCAATTTCGCGACACGGAACGCGTATAATCCACGGAAAAATGATGATCTAATATGGGTGTCTTTGTAATGCACAAAATCAACGCATATTGAATGTTTAATGAAAAAATAAAAATCCCTCCAAAATTTATTCTCTGTTCGGGATGCAGGCAACATCAAGTAGACCAAATTAATAGCAATCACTCGCTGGCAAGACCATCGATGGCTCCCACTTCCATGGGTTGTTCATAAGCAAACTGATGGAGGCTTTAACTCTCTAGCAAATAAAAGTATCAACTCTTCCTCGAAGCGATCCTGCCCACCGGCGAAATCGAACTTTCCATTTTTAGCATGAGAGGAGCCCTCTCTACCAATACATAAAGCCAGAAGGCCAGTACAACAACAATACTATTTTAATAAATGGCAACGCGCACCAGACTAGCCGGTGCGATCATGCGTTTTGTGCAATTCAGCCCATCGACGGCCTGTTAATGATTTTCACTTCCTCGTACTTTAGTCTATGCAAAAATAGTTCAAACATTGAAAAACAG